CCCCCCCCCCCCCCCCCCCTCCCCCAGTGTGATCCTAGTCTCAGACTCTGTTCCATCTGAACATCAGTTCCTAACTCTGGAACGGGGGGATCTAAATGAACTAAATTTAATTTTAAATTAAATTTAATTTAATTAAAATTGAAATGCCCTAAATAACACACACACATCTGTGTCGACCTAGCATCGCTGACTCGGTTGTGTTTTTATCTTTATCTCAGTAACTCCCGTCTTCACGAACACTCCCAGAGACCAGACGGTTGTGACGGGCCAGGACGTCCGTATTCCCTGCAGGGCCCAGGGCCAGCCGCAGCCGGTCCTCACCTGGAACAAGGTCAGACTGGGGGGAAAAACACACTTCACCTTCATCAGGACAGGGGTCACAGGGGTCACAGGTTAGACATGTGTTGAAGTGGACCCAGTGCCGTTGTCTTTATGAACTGTTCTTCCTTCTCCAGGATGGCGTTCAGGTGACGGAGAGTGGAAAGTTCCACATCAGCCCTGAAGGTTACCTGGAGGTCAAAGACGTGGGAACGGCCGATGCTGGACGTTATGAGTGCGTTGCTCGAAATCCCATTGGTTATCAAGTTGCCCCCATGGTGCTGACTGTAACAGGTACAGACATTGACACCGACTCTGTGCTCTGACTGTTGACACCTCCAGAACAACAATCACAACAACAAACAACCGCCGCCAGTACAGCTTCAATGAGCAGGTGATTATCACCAGGAACTGTTATATACACAGACTGTGGGAAAGAGGTCAAGACTGAATCTCCTGGATCTTAACAACCCCACCATCATCTTCATCATCTTCATCTACGACTGACACAACAGTCAGATGGATCGTCCAGGAGAAGGAGAGTTTATACCACCATAAAATAAAACAATTTAATGAAATACCTTCAAATGATCTCTCGGTAAATTCAAGTACTTCAATAAAATACAAATCAATGAAATAATACGTAAAAGAGTACATAGAAAATACATATTTACAAAATAGCTTAAGAAATGCATGTGTTCAAACCAGTTTTTCCAGCACGCTCAGTAACCAGCCAATCAGAGCTCGGCTCATCATCGTCATCATTTTAGGTCTAGGTTCTCTTTTTGGAGAACAGTTGACAGAGCTCACACTCACGAACAGGAGTAGCTGAGAGTGTGTGTTGTCAAGAATCTGTTGATACGATACGTATTGCGATACTGGGCGCCGATACAATATATTGCGATACTATAGTCTTGAAGAACAACAGACCTGATCCAATTACTGACTAGATTCTACAGAACGATCGTATTCCACAGGAACCATTTTTATTGAGTACCTCATTCCAGTCACCAAGAACTTTATCTTGAAAATGGTTGAACTGGAGAGAGAACCAGTGACTTCCTTCAGCTCCAGATTCAGTCTCAAATCTCTTTTTTCCGATCTCCACTTGTAACGTAGCGTCCTCTGACTTGGCCTTCTTCACTTCCAGTTCCTGCGGTCAGCAGAGAGGGAGACCTGTTCGTGAGCACGTCAATAGAACAGGCCATACGTTCTGTGGACAGTGCCATCGAGTCCACAAGGAGACGCCTCTTTGATGGGTGAGAATTCACACACACACACACACACACACAGGTGTGTACTACATCCATCTCCACTCCACCAGCTGATTACCAGCTGAGGGGGGGACAGTGTCCTCCAGCTCCTCCTCCAGGGAGGCGAGTTTAGAGCCAACGACAGATTTTGCAGTTTGTTCAGTCTGTTGATGAGACTGCAGCTCGGACGTGGGTAGCAGAGCGTGGGTTTGATTCCCAGAGGAACCACATGCTTGACTGTTGATCCTCCTCCTCTAAGTCGCTTTGGATCAAAGCTGTCAATGTATGACAGTTCAATTTAATCGTATCATTTGGACAAGTTCTCGGTGATGAGAAGAATAACGTTGTTCGTATCTGTGAAGTGACCCCTACAGGGCGTCTGTACTCACCACTGACTTTTTACTACCTCAGGTTTTAAACACACGTTTGACCAGAGTCTATAGACTAACTGACAGACTGTAACTGAGAAAATGAAAAGGTCTGGCTTCAAAGAAACACGACGTCAGCCCTGGGTTCCCGGCCTGAAGTTTAAATACAAATCCTCGTCTCACATTAACTCGACACATGTTTGAAGTATGAGTCACAGGGGGGGGAGGGGTAGTGTGGCTGCTGCCAAAACCCAGAGACCACAGTCGCCCCCTGCTGTCTGTGTGCACAGTGTTTGTAACGTAGAAGTTTCAGCCTCCGACTCCTGCCATCGGCTTCTTCAACAACCACGATCCAGTGACAACTCGTGAAAGAGCTCTCCTTATTTAAAAGATAGTCTGCTGTCGCTGTATCGCCCTGTTAGAGCGCCCACTGCTGGCCATCAATGAAGAGGAGGTTCTCAGTGTCCGTCTTCTCCACTGATGTGGCTTAGCTGTGGTGGTGTTCTTCTCACACACACACACACACACACACACACACACACACTCTAATGAGTTAGGATGAACCAGGATGTGGGGACTTCCATCTCTTTCTCGACAGTTAAATTACAGAGAATCTGTCGTCGTCGTCGTCGTCGTCGTCGTCGTTGTCGTCGTCGTCGTTGGTGTTAGATCAGGAGCAAATTCATCTGTGCTTCAAAAATCCCACGTGACTCATGGAAACAGACCACCTTTACTTTAACTGGGATGGTAATTACTTCACTCATTAACAGTAATTAGTTAACAACAGGAATAAATCGGAGAAGGAACTAAATCAAGTTAGAGACGATGTTCTAATAAACAGTTCTAGTTCCACTGACCTTCACATCAATATGTATATATGTATCTACTGTATATATGTGTATATATGTCTACATATATGTAAATAGGTACATATATACATATATATATATGTATATATGACACTGATGTGTATGAGACTCAGAGGTTAAAACCTGCTTATTGCCGTGTTTGTGACCAGCACTGATTGGTTGTCAGTGTGTACACGTGTTGTCAGTGTGTACACGTGTACCTGAGGTATTTTGTTTCTGTCAGTACTTCATACAAGTGAACAAAGTTCAGTACTTTGTTCACTTGTATGAAAGTAAAACCAAAGACAGTTTTCCTGCTTCTCTCCACTTCAGGAAAACAGAAAGTGAGATCTTCCATGAAGGACGCGTCTCTTTTTGTCTCTGTCTGCGTCCAAACCTCCTACGTTTACACTGTCCCTACTCTATGGTCACTTTTTCCTTTTGTTTTTTTGTCCCCCCCTCCCCCCCACCACCC